CCAACTAGTGCGGTCTAGGGCTATGTCTTCCCAATGGTCAGTATCAATGTTCACTGATTTTAAATCCCTTTTTATCACATCAACGTAACGGAGGTGGGGCGACCAGTTTTTCTTGAGCCAGACACAAGTTGCTGTACAGAATGAATTGCGGGATGCGATGGTCCTTCATCCGGCGAACATGTCCGAACCAGCGCAGGCGGCGTTGCCTGGGGACCGTATAGATACTGGGAAGGCCCGTTCTCGCAAGGATCTCAGTACTACACACTCTTTCTTTCCATGTTATTTTTAAGTCGAATGAGTCTATTTTTCTCTCTTGCTTTGTGAAGTTAGTCCACTACTCACTGCTGTACAGTAGCGTGCTAAGAACGCATGCCTTGTAGACCTCCATTTTGGTCGCTATGGTGAACTTCTGGTTTTCCCAAACTCTTGGTCGGAGTCTAGCGTTGATGCGTCTTTCCCTATGCGTTTTTTAAAATCTACTCTTCTAGAGACAGGTCATCTTGAATTGTAAATCCAAGGTAGTAGAATTCATTTACGGTATCTAGCTTGTTATCGTCAATGAGGATGGATGGTGGTGCTGTAGCAGGTGGTCAGGGAGACAACCCTGAGAAAAAATCAGGAGCTGGTACTGTTTAAGAGGGAACTCCATTTATTACGTAAATATAAGCGGTGTTGCACTGACGCGCTAGTGTGCAAATGTACATATAATACCAATATTTTAGAGTGGCCGAGGGTTTTTTTTGTCCCTCTTTCACACATTAATCTTTATTTGTAGAGATGTAGAAACTTTATACATTTTTTACAAATAAATATGTATGTGTTCCGGATACTTACAATACCCACATTTTGTCCCCGCGTTCACATTGTTCCTGATGTTCTTGATGTTTTCCTGTACCACGTGACCTCACAAGCTGAGAAATTGTTTTCAGAGCAACACTTAATATCCGTTATAACAGTTGATATATGTCATTGTCATTTACATTACTTAACAAATGTCAGATGTCATTAATATCTGCCATAGAATTCTGTCATCAGTACTTTAAAAAAAATCTTCCAAAACGCCCTTAAAAATTAAATTTAATTCTTTAATGGCAATTTCTAATGCGGATTTTCCTCCTAGTCGAGTTCCCTATATAAAGACAGTCTGTGGTCATTGTCAGTCACACATCTTCATCCACAGTCGTCACAGTTTGTGCGAGTTACTACACACTACACACCAGGTATGTGATGATGTGTTTTGTTGTACAAGTCACAGTCAAATAATGTTTCGCTTTTTTTTTTATGCGTGTTAACAATTTGTTTGGCGCAAATCAATACTATCTATAAAAAAATATTTAAAACTTGCCACATCTCTACTCTGGAACTGATGATGTAATGTTTGTTTTGTTTTTATTGCGAACGGCTAGACGAGGGCATCATGGTTAATTAAGTTTAATTAAGTTTAATATCATCACCCGTAATTTCTTCAGCCAAACTGATCGCAAATAGTGTTGTTTTTTTTTAAAACCATTTACGAGATCTAGTACATCTTCTAACACTTGTAAAATAATAAGCCACTTCGCTACCCTAAATGTAAACATAACCTTGATCTAATGGTTACTTAGCAATCATTTTACAAATTTAAATATCAAAACAAACTATGATGCAAAGATGCTCTATGTATCTATCTATATCTATTTATCTATCTAATCTCTTTCTTTCTCTCTCTCTATATATATTCATCCATCCACCCATGTGTAATTGTGTTTTCAGTTTCCGATGGCTATCTTCGCTGTTTTCGCTTGTCTCCTAATATTTGGTAAGTAGTACCCAGTAGCATATGTAGTGATCATTTGTATACTCGGAATCTGCGTAGCCCAGCAGATTGCTATGCAAATATACTTTTCGCTAACAAATATATTTATTTATTTATAATGATCTCAAACTTGGTTTGATACACATGCATACGAATACTAGACTATTTAGTTCACACGTTTATAATGGTGACTTTTTTTTTTTTACTTTTCAGCCGTGCCATCTTTGCAGCAAGGGGTAAGAGTGAATGACGTTACTATTTTCACTTTCTTTACTTAATGGACCTCATTCACCAATTGTAAACAAACAACATTTAACCACGTGATTCTCTATCTCTTCTATACAAATTATGTAATCCATAAAGGCTGTTACAAGATGAACATTTTACATTGTTTTATCAATATTATGACGTGGCTAAATGTGTTTATTTACGATTGGTGTATGAAGTCCATGAAATTATTTGATTGCTAGATAGAACTCTTTTAGTTATATCTCATCATATCCCTAGCGTCACTGTTTAGTTGAAATGTAAACAAGTAAAAAAGTATATAAAATGGAAATCACCGCACAATCACTACGTCAAGGCTTATCTCCCCTTTCAATATAAAACAAAATTACTTAATTTGGTTATCGTTAAAAAGATGATTCGTGTATTGTCTTCGACTATTAATAATTGAGCAAATTTTTAACTTAATCCGAGAATAGGAAATGGGAATAGAAACAGTAGAAATTCCTCCCAGTCACACAAACGAAGTGCGTTAATATAAGGGTTTGTAAAGATTGCATATTTTATCATTTCGTTTTTTTGTTTTAATGAAATTAAAACGTTTAGTAACACTTCCCATTCAAGCATCTGGAGCACTCACTGTGTCCTGGGAAGTTGTATCCATTACAATTACCTTTTTCTACATTGTAGCTGTTGCGGTTTTTCTGGTATCTGGACAGCACAATGACTAATGGACTTTTCAAACTGGAGTTTGATATTAAATTAGTGCTGCTTTGGGTTGCATTTTTATTTGTATAATCTCTAAACCCTTAATTTATGAAAAAAAAAATATATCTGGAGGGTCGTCAATGAGCTGCATATCACCATTGCCATTTCATTAAATCTATGTTTCCCAAACTGTGTTCCAGGGAACCCTAATGTTCCACGAGCTACTGGAATAGTTAACTAGTTAACACGTGAATTTCTCTCTTAAAAAAACAACAAACAAGCAAAGTGTTCCGCTAAATACTCAGAATGTGCGAAGTGTTCTGTTAAGGAAAAAAATTGGGAAAAAACTGCATTAAATCAACGGGGTTGTTCCAACCTTGTCACCTGGTAGCGTTGTTTCCATATATGGCCTTATTGATTTAATTGCTATTTGATAGTGAAAAAGGTCTATATCTAGAAATCATTAATTTATAAAAATTCACTAATTGATATGATTGTTTAAGTAGATCTACTAGATCTAGCCCTAGATCTAGAATGTCTAGATATTTAGCACTAAATCTAGATCTACATCTTATCATAGGCAGACATTGCTATTATTGTTAATTTATAAGACTATCACCACGTGACTATGCTACTTAAAGTGTTAAAAGTTAAAAGTGTAATTGTATCAATTAGTTTGGATCAGTCATATAATTATATACGAAATTGACTTCCACATAATAAATCTGTGAGGCTAGAAATATTTATACCAATTGCTTTCATTTAGAGTTTAACTTTTTCAATGCGCCATGATCATATCACGTGTCTAGACCAGTTGTCAAACGGGGAGGAAGAAAGGGGTATTTTTGTGAATGTTTTAATGATCGTTTTTTAAATGCATAAATAAAATGTTCACTCAGGGCTCAAGAGTCCTTAAAGGGGCTAATTTAACTAATACCACTACATCTGTCAAGCACGATTTCTTTCCCTTGTTGAAGATACCAAACAAAATAAATAATTCTTTTTTTTATTATTGTGTTGTCTGGTAAAAGAAACAATTGTGCAAAATTTCAGCTTAATCCGAGATTGGGTGTGGGAGAAATAAAGTGTACAAACTTTTTACCATAGAGACAAACAGACAGAGTGACTTGACATAAGCTTTGTAAAAACTTAACGTAATTTTTTCTCTATCCTGATCTTCAGGGCCATGGACATGGTGGTTATAGGTAAGTGTTTTCTTTCTTGCTTAGAACATCTTGATATTGGAGATTATCAAACTAAGGTTAATCACAATAAATCACAGTAAATGTATGTAAATCACAGTGAATCACAGTAATATGTCGCTTGTTTACGCTTTCAATTTTGTGATCATGCTTACATTCTTGTAAGAAATATAATTCCGAAAGAGAGGAAAAGAAGAAAAGGCGATATGAAGAAAACTGATGACGAAATAATGGTACCTAAAGATAAATCGTAGGAAAATGAAACGAGGAAATTTGGTAGAGATTTTAAAATAGGCAAACCAAACAATGTCAAGGACGCCATATTTCAAGGTCAATATTGCCAACTACATAATATAAAATTCCTACAAGCCATAGGGGATTTAAAAAGTGAATAGACAGTTAGAAATGGCTAGTTCGCTTAACAAGGTTTCCATATTCTGTACACCGGATACACCAAAAACTTGCACTTTAGGAATGGGCCTCTATCTCCATTAGTCAACTTTAGTATGCATTGTGTAGTTCATAGTAATCTACTGCGTTTATGTCATCTTTATGAGTTTATCTTGTAATGGCTATCTGTTCATTCTGACCTTGTACTATATCCAAACTATAATATACTATACAAAACCTTGATTGATGTCGTCATATCCTGACATAAAGAGGAACTAATGGTGTAAATTTGTTGCAAAGTAGAATGTCGTCTAAACTATGAACCATGAGGTTTAATAACAACTTTACACTTAAGACATTATTGACTGAGTTCTTGTTAACTTTTGAATATCATTTGTCTTTCAATGTACTTTCTCTTTCTCTTTCTCTCTCTCTCCTTTCTCTTTCTCTCTTTTGGTTTTCATTCTCTCTCTTTCTCTTTGTGTCTCTTTCTCTCTTTCTCTCCCAATCTTTCTTCCTTTTTTCTCCTAATTTCTTACTGTCTCTCTCTCTCTCTCTCTCCATGTCTAATTTGTAAAATGTAAATCCTTATTTCAGAGACCACGCCTACTGTTACGACCAATGTAACAACGCTTACCAGAAAAACCGCAACAGCTACAACGTAGACCAATGTAACTGTAACGGATACAACTTCCCAGGACACAGTGAGTGATCGACTATCTTTAAATAGAATTCATTGCATCACTTTCAGTTCCACCTTATACCTTTCCATTGTATCATCTCACTTTCCATTGTATTGCATTATTTTCTCTTTCATCGACTTACTTTCCATATCATTGCATCATTTTCACATCAAAGTTTGAAAGCAGAGTCGAACTCGAACTGTGTGCTGGAGGTTGTCTGCTATGTATGCGTGTTTGTTTCACCATTGTACACCGCCTTGTGTACACATCTGTCTAGACAACTGTCTTTTTTCTTTCTATGTTTGGATCTATATCATTAAACTAGAATCTTCTGTATCATATCTCTAGATCCAGAAGTCTAGTCTAGACAACTGTCTGTTTGCTTCTAAGTCTGGATCTATATCACCAAACTAAAATCTTCTCTAATTAGATCCAGCATTCTACTTTCTCAACTGTTTTTTAATGTTACCATGTCTGTATCTGTATCACCAAACTAGAATTTTATATACTCTGAGTAGATGTATACATGGGCGTAACCAAAATATTTTTCAGGGGGGGGGGATTGATGCGGGGTAAAAAAAATGTTCAATTTTATTTTAACAAAACAATTGCTCTTACAAATAATTATCTTCTTCATAAAGAAGGAATTGTCTTTTAAAAAGTAACTCTTTTTTGTGACTTGTTTCTACTATTGTAACACATTTGTAACAATGTTACAGACAACTGTGGTCACATCGACACTTCCTGCATCGCCAACAGTTACGACGCCACCTACAATGTGTACGCCTGGACATATGACCACAGGATAAACTCCTGCAAGAAGGTCAGCGTCTTGAGTAGATGTGTGGACAGCTACACAACCCAGAGAAACATCTTCCAGAGTCAGCAAGCTTGTGTCAGAGCCTGTGAGCCCAATAGAGGTTATTAACTGGATATTAAGTGGACACTCTGAGTATAGGCCGAATGTATTTAATGGACATTGATCAAATATTCCAATCTCTAATAAAGCTTCAAGCCTTATTTGTTATTTTGTGTTTGTCTGGTAGTATTTAAAGTTGCAATGTACTCTTGGGCCGAATCTTTACTTAGTTGTGAGGTCTGTCTCTGTTTGTATGTATATGTATGCATGTAAGGTTCTGTTGGAGATGTATGTTACATTAGGTATACAAGAAGTTCTACATGTGTTTAAAATGTAGTCAGAATATTTTATTTGTTGTAGAATTTAGTTAAAAAATACAATCATCTGTAAAAGTTTATATTTTCTCGTTTAATAAAGTCGTTTAAAAATATCTTCCACGTTTTTCTTTTTTTTTTACCACGTGACTATGACCAAGTTCCGTTTTATGTGTGTAATATGTGCTGTCATAGGAAAAAAAATATCGCAATATAATGTTCAGCTTAACGTGATAATAATCATGACTTTCATTATTTAAATAATCTTTATTTAGTCCTCACCATTTATCTACTTTCTATATGCATTTACCATTTGAACAAAATAAACTTCACACAGCTCCCTCTTTTCAGACACTGCTCCCACCCTTATGAAACCGTAAACCATATCCTCTTTGAATGCCCCTTCCTAATCCACCTTAGGTAGACCCTACTTCCACTACAGCCCAACATAACCAACACCCTGTACGGCAGTGCTGAACAACTGAAGAAAACAGTACACTTTTTTTCCTTGGTACAGTCTGATGCAAAGTATACAGCTCCGCATCAATAAATCTGGCTAGAAGAAGAAGAAGCTATACATTTGGTATAATCTTGATATAATTGTTATATTTAAATGTGATATAGATTATATAATTAATCTATCTCGATAAGCACGATATAATCTTCAAATTATCAAGATATAGACTATATAGTTTATATAATTTCGATAACTTGGTATAATCGTAATATATTCTTGATTATGAACTTGAAATAGTTCACTAGTTAATTAATTTATTTTGTATTATTAAGATGTACAAAGCTAAGGGGAGATAATCCTTGTGTGTGTGTGTGTGTGTGTGTGCACAGAATCAGGTCTTTCGCTAAAAATTTTAAATTAACAATAGACTATAAACCTTCTATTTTTCTAAATACTATTATAGCTCAGTGGCTAGCATGTCGAACTGGCATCATGTAGACTCAAGACCTCGAGTTCGAATATTTTTCCCAGATATCCCCCCCCCCCCCCCCCACTGAAACTATTGGTCCACAAAAGTGATTGGGCCATAGCAGAGCCATGCTAAAAGTATCAAAGTTTGCGCTGAACAAAAACATTTAAGAAAAAAAAAACTGTTTAAAAAAAACCCAATAGGCTTATATAAGGTGTAAATGTATTAATTAGTTTGGATCAGCCACGTAATTAGATCTGTAATAGATCTAGACTAGCATTAATAATTATGTGTGATTAGAAATATTTTTATCGAATCGATTGTTTTAGTTAAGAGCAATGGTATGCTCTTGACCTTCTGAATGCGCTATGATCCTATAAATTGTCTTGACCATTTAGAAGAGAAAAAAAGAGGGGGGGGGGGGAGTAAGGAAAGAAGGGGATATCTTGTGAAGGTTACCGTGATCGCTTTTTAAATGTATTTAATAAAACAAAAGTTGTACGACCTGAATTCGAACTCGACGGGCTCAAGCCTCCTGAAGCCTATTGAAGCCAATGCACTAGCCACTGTGTGTGCTAATGAAAATAGCGGATTTCATAGTTATCTATTGTTAGTTTCAAAGTTTTAAGCGACGACCTAATTCTCTACACAAAGTATAAGGGGTGCTAAATCAACCTATACCGCTACTGTGCGCTACATGTCAAGTACAATTTCTTTCCCTTATTCGATACAATACTATAATACCAATTACTAATTGATTATTTTCTTAAAATTTATTCTTGTATTTTCAGGTATAAGAAATAATTGTGCAAAATTTCAACTATCCAAGGTTTGGGAGTGGGAGAAATAACGTGTACTACTATTGAACCAGACAGATAGAATGAGTTGTGATCAGCTTTGTAAAAATCATTTTATTTGTTGGTAGACATTAAGATGTTGACCCAGATTTGCTTGGATTTATTATACCTTTTATGATACAGAAATGTCTTATAATATAAATCCGTGTGTGGGATCAATTATTACGTGGAGTATGCATTTGTCAAAGAACTCGTTAATTTATTTTCCTTCGAAACCCAAGCGTCTTCCCTAGGATGCAAACCAGGCAATTCTGTCCTCTTTCTTATCCAAGCACGGTAGATGCTAGACATCTACAGAAATTAATAAGGAGCGTCGGAAACGAAAGAAGGCTCTCTTCTGTCCATCTCTCTCTCTCTCTCTCTCTCTCTTTCTCTCTCTCTCTTGCAATCCTTAGAGGTGCGTGCATGCATGGGTTGCACTCGTATTTCTGGACCATGCAGTCAGCGGTAAAAGTGTTCACAGTTGCCTGAAGTAATTTCTAAAAGTTCAAAAGACATTTAAAAAACAAAAATGGGCTTCATACTTTGCATAGGCCTGATGCTGTTTATGGACTGTGTCCATAAGATGCTTTATTTTGCTTTAAATCACCACTAATAAAAATTGATAAAAAGACTTAGTTGTGGAACGCTGTGATAACGGCTTGCACTCAAGTTTGAAAGAGAAACAATGTGGCTTCTGTCTCAAGGCAGATAGTGAAAGAAACAACGTGACTTTTGTCTCGCTTTATCGACCAGCAGTATAAAGATAACTTTTCGGACAAATTCAAGGGGGCAAGGCTATTATTCTTAACGACACTGAATCTCAAAGTGAAGCAACCAACATGTAAGATAAATATAGGCCTGGCATGTTTGGCTACTAATATAACTAGCACGCAGTTGGCGCAGTCCAGACGGCACTCGTGCGTGATGACCCGTCCACATACCATAGTGTACAATCCCTGGCCGACAAAAGACTGTTCACTCTTTGGTACGATGTCTGAGATTCTTCAGATAAGGGAAGTGAGCTCCACAGGGCAATGAGGATGCGGGGTGGCAACTTAATCGTGCGGAACAGGCCATCCTAGCCCAGTTCCGAGTCGGTCACTGACCAATGGGTGTTTACTTCGGACGGTTTCGAGAGAACTACGGCACACGGTGTCGCCACTGCATCGCGGACGTAGAAACAGTAGACCACATTCCGTAGGAATGTCGCGTTCTGAAGGACGATTGGGACAAGGATTGGAGAGAGAGAGAGAACTGGTTCGTGTGTGGCATTAGGGCTGTCCTTGTACGGGGACAAGGCGACCTTAAAAATTCACTGCTCGCTTTCATTCACGTGCTCTAATGGTTCGCTACCAATGGGGTTTCTGATTTGGGTGCGCGGTGGCTGAGTGGTTAAGCGCTTGGGGCTCTGGGTTCGAATTTCGATGAATACTGGGATTTAGAATTTCACCCAACTCTAATGGGGTGAAGAAACAAGTCCTTTTACGTTTAAAGTGCCTTTTAATTGTGAAGCATTTCAATTTTCAACATAACATATATACACGGCAACGTTATATACAGATAACCTACTCCACTCGCTGACTTCCTCTCTTCTTGTTTACACACTCGTCACTTCCCCTAAGTCCCCTAACTCTCGATACTCAACACTTGACCGTGTGTCACGGTTGACAACACAGTAACCGTGTCACAACAAATGGGTACCTGACTTTAGTTGGCGAAAGTAAAGGCGGTTGGTTGTCGTGCTGGCCACATGACACCCTGCTTGTTAACTGTTGACCAAAGAAACATATGACCTTAACATCATCTGCCCTATAGGTCGCAAGGTCTGAAAGGGGAATTTTACTTATAACTAGCACGCTACATAGTACTGACTATGTCCTGCATTGCAGTTCAAATATTAAAGACTTCATACAGAGTTAAAACAGATTAGGAAAGAATGTTCAGGAATGAAAATGCGGATTTAGAAACATTTATTTTTTTTCCTTTTTGAAAACAATAAAATATCTTTCTTCCGACAGTTCCTGTTGCCCCCAATTACCAGGTTTAGCTAGCGCCTTGTATGGTGACATGTTGACATATGGTCAACATGTTTTTGTCATGGATAAGTGTGGACAAGTGCGGTCAAGAGCTAAAATTTTGAAAAGACAGCTGACCAGAACAAAGCTTAACTACTAAAGATGATATTACTTTATACTTATTACCAGGTGACTGAGCCTCGCTCGTTTGAATAATTTGTTAAGGAAATATATTTACTTATTTTGGCCAATTCGAAAAGTTGCTATGTTGTTCTATTAGTTCTAAATGTCAATCTACATGGCGATTAGAAAAGAAAGTCTCCTAAGTCCTCATA